CTAACATTAGACATATTAAAACTTTAAGAAGCCCAACATTTTTATATTAGAAGTCTATATCAACACTGGCCTTATATCACTTGTAAAATAGCCATTCATTAAAGAGCCTTACAAAAATTCTAACTTAATCTAATTCTTGATTAAATTGTAGGTTTCAGCTTTTCTAACCTTCTCACACTAATTTCTGACCCCCCTCCGAGCTAATAGCCTAACTCTAGTAATAGTTTCATGACTTCTTTCATGATGAGTCAGCGGAATGTCGGCTGTGGTTACGCAATGGATGGAGCCCACTAAGACCCTCTAGGGCTGGGAGGCACTACATAACTTAACAGATCTGGTACAGCTTACCGAAGGGTCGATTGCGTAAGCACGGAGTAAGCTTAAGCTCTTCTGCTTGGATCATCGCCAAAATAGTATAGTTTATTGCTTAGCCTGTCTAAGAGATTGCAAATATCCACTTCTTATCAGCATTGACCACCCAAAATCGCTGTGGGTACTCGCGGCTCAGCAGTCCACCTGTTGGGTCTGCGATATAGGCTATAGAATTTTGGTTCTTTACTCCGTACACTAGTAGTCCTGGTAGCAGATTGTAAACTCCTTCGGGCTTTTGGTTTCCTTTTTCCTTTCACTTCTTTCTTTCTTCTTTTTTTTCCTCCCTTTTTTTGGTTACTTGTACTTCATTCCATCTTCAATGAAGATACCAAATAGACCATCCAAGCTATTATAGAAATAATCCAGAACAGAGGTCTCCCAATATGCAGGACCTATTCATAGATCGGATAAAACAAATGATATTCTGCGGTGTTCGAATCAGTCCGCCGCCCAGGAAACCAATGATTGATAGGAACCAATTCTCTACGAGACAACGCACAATTTCGCCTGCCAGCGAAGTTGAGTTGTAGCTGAATCGCGAAGTGGGTGGCCTACTTGCTAACGGGGTCATGAATATTGGCGGTCTTTCGTGGGAGGATTCGCTCTAGCATTTGCTACTTTGATAGTATTTCTTTTTGGCTAACTCTAAGCGAGGGTTCTCCTGAGAAGATATCCATTCTTCCAGCGGGCTCTTGACATAAATAGCAGGACACGGAAGTCCATTCCCCTGACTCGGTATCTCTCAACACCACACCTCAATCCTCTGAAGCCCTTTTTTGTTGTTCTTATCTTTTCTTTGAGTCGCGATGGTCGGGCTACAAATCCTGGGAGCCATCATTCTCGGCGCGGTGATGGCACAGGCATCGTCAGTGAGCATCCACAATATCACCTTCGCGCACAACTTCGCGACGGAGGCGCTCAATGCCGCGACGCCCTATGTCAACCTCTCCGAGTTCGGCTACCACGGTGGCCAGCTGCCCAAGGTCTACGCCCTGAACCAATCCAGCCACGGGGTGGACTACCTGCCCGAGGAGAGTTTTGCGGAGTTCCGGGGCATCATCGCCGGCACAAACAACGCCAGCGCGGCGTTCAGCGCAGAGCAGGAAGCTCTGGTCGGGACCTCCTCTAGCACCACCACCACCACCACCAAGCGCACCACTACCAATGCCATCAGCATGCTTCTGCGCAATTCCGCGGGCGAGGGCAATACCTACGCTGTCAAGGCCAACCACAAGATTTGCCATACTGAGACCCATGCCCCGTGGCACTACGTTGTCGTCTACTGGATCAAAGAGGCGTATATCACCTTTTGGAAGAGCGATGCCTGCAACGGCAGCAAGGGCAGCTTCAATCCAGTCTGTGACTACTACGATGATCCCTCCGAGGTCTGCGTCTTCAACTTTAGCCCCAAGTCCTTCCGCGTTTACTCGGGTTGCCACCATAGCTATGGCTGGGGTGATGGCTGTGAGGCGCACACTCTGTGATTGAAGCTTTGGGCTTGTTGATGTTTGGATTGAGTCTGGAAGAAGACCCGAAGGGTAGCAGCAAGAGGAAGGATGGAGCAGAGTTGACACGGGATGTTGAAGTTAAGCAAACCAATATGTGTTAGTGAATATGTGTTGCGACTATCCGTTTGTGTTGCGATGTTGTAGACATTGTCGTTGTCGTAAGAATCGTAAAGACTAGATAGGTCCCGATCTTGCACCATAAGCTTGCAGCAGTCTGACCACAGCGTCGTGGCCGAATTCTGCCGCACAGGACAGAGGCGTCTGACCATCCGAATTGGGCACATCTGGACGGACTCCCTTAGCCAGCAGCAGTCGGACCACTTCTTCGTGTCCGTTGCGTGCTTCCCACCAGAGCGGCGTCTCCCCCATCGAGTCTTGACAGTTGGCATTCACTCTCTCTGTCGCAAGGAGAAGTTTGGCCACTGGTTCGTGTCCATTTCGGGCAGCCCACCACAAGGGCGTTTCCCCGTCTTCAGTTGGGCAGCCATCCGGGTCTGCCCCTTTCTGGAGCAAAAGCTTAACAATGGCAGCGTGACCATTCCGTGCTGCCCAAAGCAAGGGAGTCTCGCCACTCAGGCTTCGAGATTCAGGGTCCGCACCATGCGTGAGCAGCAACGTGACGATTGTCTCATGTCCGTTCCGCGCGGCCCACCACAACGGGGTCTCTCGATTGGAATTCTGTGCCTCGGGATCTACTCTGTTGGTGGCCAGGAGGAGCTTAATGATTGTCTCTTGCCCATGTTCTGCGGCATACAGCAGGGGCGTCTGTCCGTATGGTCCGGGGGTATCAGGATTCACCCCCCCCCCATGGCGAGCAGCCCTGTAACCACATCTTCATGTCCGTGAAACACCTCCCACCAAAGAATTGTTCTTCCCTGGGAGTCTTGGGGAGCTGGGCTTATTCCTTTGGTTGCAAGGAATAGTCGAACGCACGCGTGGTGCCCGTTTCGCGCGGCACACAGTAACGGCGTCTCGCCGTCTGAGTCTGGGGTATCCAGGGATACCTTCTGCGTCGTTGCGATGAGAGCTCGAATCACGGCCTCATTTCCAGCCTGCGCAGCCCAACAGAGGGCCGTGCGGCCTTTGGAATCAGCGGAAGTCGCATCGACACCCGGCATTGTGAGCAGCAATTCTACGACAGCCTCATGTCCCGACTCGGCTGCTAACAAAAGCGGCGTTCGTCCATCCGAGCTCCTGGAATCTGGGTCCACGCCGTCAACGGAGAGCAGAAACTCGGCGATTTCCAGATGACCATTCCGCGAAGCCCACGCGAGAGGCGTGCATCGACCAGCCCCCGCATCGTTTGGGTCCACGTGCCTTGCCGCGCAGAGCAGCTTCACCACGGAATAGTGACCATTCCGCGCCGCCCACAGGAGCGGCGAGTTTCCGTCTACATCTTTCCTGCTCGCATCCACGCGGTGCGTCCCCAGGAGCGCCGCGACGATCGCCGTATACCCCCGCTCGGCGGCCACCATCAGGGGGGTCTCTCCCCGCAGATTCGGCGTGTCAGGCCGAGTCCTCGCCCAGCCTAGTAGCCGCCGCACCACCGTCTCATGCCCTAGTTCCGCGGCGACGAGCAGCGGCGTCTCCCCCCACTCGTTCGGGACATTCGGATCGTCGAGCCCCTCGTGCGCGCGCAGGAGCTCGACGACGGCGTCATGGCCGTTGCGCGCCGCAAGCAGCAGTGGGCTCTGGAAATCCCAGTCTTCGAGGTTGGCGTCCACGCCTGGGGTCGCCAGCAAGAGGCGCACGACCTCCGCGTGGCCGTTCTCCGCCGCGGAGAGCAGCGCCGTTTGGCCGGACCAGTCTTCTTCGCGGTGATCGGGATCGAGTTTCTTGCCGTCGTCGTTGGCGGCGAGGAGCAGGCTGACGATCCTTGCGTGTCCGTTCCGCGCTGCGAGGGAGAGGGGCTGTGGCTCTTCTGAATCATCTTCTGCGGGGAAGCTGGGATTGCTGCTTCCCGGCGCGAGGAGCAGCAGCCGCCGGACGACTGTTTCCAGGCCGCGCTCTGCCGCATACGATAGCAGGGCGACTCCGTTCGTGAGCCTGTCGAGAAAACTCTGCAGTGTGCTCTCGAGCCGTTGGCGTCTTGCTTCGCTCCAGCTGGGGAGGGCTTCGAGGTCTGATAGAGCCCGATCCGCACTGTCATCCTCCAGACGCGGTGAATCATTATCGTGGTTGAGATGTGCACGGACATGGGCAAGGAACGAGGTCAGGAACCTTTCTCGGGAAGCGGCATCATTCGCCGCAGCATAGTCATCGAGAAAGGCAGTGAGGAGTCTCGCTAAGTCGACGATTCCAGCGGTCGTTGTCCACGGGTCTGGAAACTCCTCTTCCTGCGCCAGGCGTCGGAGAATCTCGGCGGTGGATTCCAGCTGTTTCGGGCTCAACGATCCCCATTGGTTGTCGTTATCGCTAGTTTCTGAAAACATCTTGGATTTTCGAATGATTTCTCCTGTGTTCTATGGCTATCTGAAAGGGAATAGACGATAGTATCAAGCGTTGCTGGCGGGTACAGTAGGTAACTTAATAGTTACTTACCGATGACTCACTTCCCAGGAGTGGGTGGGGGGGAGGGTTTCTTTCAAGCGATAGAGCAAATCAGTAACAGCAACACTGCAACAGGTCCTTTTCCTCCTTCCAAAGGAGAGTGGTTTTATTCTTCGGGGTGAGTCTAAGCAGGGCTATCAGTCCTTAGCTTCTGCTTCTGTGCGGGGCTCTGGAGGCCCAACGCTAATCGCTTATCCGGTGACAAAATGCTTAGATGGCGACGCGCGGCCCATGGTAAAGTATGCGGGTTTGAGATAACTACTTGGCAGTGAGGTGGGTCCCCAGGGAAAGAAAGCAACATGACTAGTAACTTAGTATGTTGATGGGTTCACTACCCAGCAGTGCAATATTAGCCCCCATACCCACTAATCACTCCTTATGGGAACATCTGAGAGCTACTATGATTCACCTCCAGTGAGCTACTCAAGGAATACACTCAAAGCCGGATATGGGAATCCCCCTAACCGTGTACAGGCTATCCTTACTAAACGTGTGATTACAAAGTACATGCATGGTTGATAGAGAACTTCTACGGATTATGTATGTGTAGACAGCATCTAGTTTTCGACTCTCGACATTCACGAAAAGACCTGTACATCAGACTGGAAGCAGTAAAGAAAGAAAGAAAGATAGAAATAGTCACGGCAGGCCCTCCTTGCTAAACCATCAATCAAGCTCATAGGTTGCTCGAACTTGACAACCACGCCAGCGCAATTTTCTTGCCTCTAAACCGTCCAAAAAGCGAGTAGGTATCCCGCGTATGGCACTCACTCATTTCAAGCGGATAAATCACCATCTTCCGCCCGTTCCCCTTGATACAGCGATGATTGGGCCAGATCTCCATCTCCAACCACAACGACCCCGAGGGATTCTCGAACTGCACGCTCTTGAACTTGGAGTTGTAGTTGTGACACTCGCCGGCGTATTTCACCTGAAAGTCTTCACTGGCACATTTCTTGTAATCAGACAGGAAGGCCCAGTAGTGCGAGAACGATCTCGCCGCGAGCTGACTACTACTTGCCTGGTCGCCATCCCGCGCCTCCAGGGTCGTCGTCGTGGTATCCGTCTCGTTGGCATCGGATGATGGAAGCGACGAGATGCCGGCGAGCTTCGTACCCACGGGGTGCAGACCCTGCGCGCCCTGCTCGACCAGCCAGGAGACATTGGCCCGGGCCGCGGGAATGCTGCCCGTGTCGTACTCGTGCACCACGGTCCAATCCTCCGCCACCAGGGACATGTTGCTCGCGAAGTGCTGCATGCATCCGAGCAGCGGCTCGTCGGGACCCTCGAAGTCGATGGTCCGGTTGCTGGAGGGGTGCACTACCGTTGCTCCCTGGTCTATGTAGAGCATGTATGGGGTGCCACTCTCATCGGTGCTGGTGTAGTTCAGGCAGGCGAGGAAGGATTCTCCCACGGGCTCTTGGAGCTTCGTTGGCCCGAGGACGGTGATGATCGTACCGTTCTGCGCATTGTCTTCCGTGGCTGCGGTGCCTTGGATGGCTATAGCCGTGACGCCGAGAAAGGCGGTCCAGGGTTTCAGCTGCATGGTGGGCCGTTTCGGTTCCTACTCCTGCAGCAATGGCTCCAAGAAAAGGTCCCTCAGTACTCTCAAGCTGGACATAAGGAATTGATAGAAGGAAAATGATACGTACAATATGTTGGATCTAGACTTTGTCAAAACTCGGGGACGAAATGCTGAGAGGAGGTCAAGGAAAGGGGGTTTGGCGAAACTTATACACCTTTTCACCGAGTCAATTCTTTCTCCCTGTTCCACTTGCCAGCTCCCTTTGCCGACAGCAAAATATGAATACAGGCGATAGGGCTGGCACCCGCCTACCAAGCTAGTACCGAATGAATTCATTCTGGTATCGCTGGTGCCGAGCTGAATTAGGGCTGCGTGTTGCGAGGAATCTGGATAGGGGGCTGGTTCCAACTGTCGCGCAGGCACTAATTCTACTCGCTTAGGATGCCGAAGGAACGAATGCTATGCTAATGGATATCTGACTATCTCGAGCTGGATGAGACCTTTCGACGCTATACTCTAGCGCGGGCGGGTCCTGGGGAGTCTTACGTACATTGGTTGTTGTAGCTGTGCTAGCGGAGTTCCAGATCCTATGTACATTCAGTCTTGCTGGGCAACTTTCAAATACCTTGATATCTGTCACCCCTTCGATGCATCCGAGGGTTAAGATGTTTCATGAAACACCAAAAGCTTAGCGTTGACCTTCACCGGTCTCCATATCGAGCCCTTGGTGCACAACCCTGCTGAAAGCTTTTCGCGCTTTCCCCAGCGTTCGTCTCCCTGTTGCTCCGGGCGCCGGGAACAGGGGCGATTACGTGTCATTTAAGATCTAGAGTAGATTAGCTTAATCCAGGGTCATCCTTGGAGCCTATCCTTGCGGTTAGTTGACTACTGTACTTAACGTATTCGGTAAGCGGGTGGTGACCATAGCTCACGATGGAAGTGGAGGAGGTGCGTGATTTCAGTCTAGGCGGCACCGAAAATGGGATCAGCGTACCTTTGGGTCCGAATTTCAAGCATCAACATCGACTACACTTTGCTCAGCGTCGCCACATGCTTTCGACAGGGCATCAAGCACTACAGTGCCTTCATATAGGCGCATGGCGAGAACTGCTGGAGGAAACAACTGATGGAATTCTTTGTTATGCGGAAGGAGTTAAGAAATGAGGGGGGACAGGAGTTCAAAGTGAGATCACATGATGTACTAATGTCGATTATGTGGTTTGGCAAGGATCTTGGTTTACCTTGAGCGAGTGCGACTAACACTATCTATGACCGATAATCCAGACAGATCATCGCTTGCAGATTAAAACAGTCTGTGCTGAAATAGGTGATGCGCATTACACTTCAACCTACAAGCATAACAGACTAGAGCAGCATAATTGATTTGTCTCAGAGAGGTAAAAGTTCTATGATCAATAGCCTTAGCACAAGTACACAAACTTCCTTCTCATTAATAAGAATACATATTGTCTTAGAAAAGGCCTAACTACCCCATATGTTAATTTTGCCTGTGCCTACTGGCTAACCTTTTTAGACTTTCATACCGTCAGTTACAGTCTTGCTTACACAGTAGTTTTTATAACTGCTGCCTGTAGACAACGGTAGTAATGGCACCTGTGTCGCCGCGGATGGCCTGTAACGTTATAAGCGGCGGCCACATGATGTGAGAAATTACCTTAGCTGGCCCTTCTCACCACCATCCTCCTCTATGTGAACGTACTTTAAACAATGAAATCAACAAGTTGAATAGCTCCAAATCCTCGCTGCTTTGGTGTACAAGCCCCCTTCACAGAGAGCCTGGAACTTTGAGCCGTCGAACGGTACCTCGGTCTGTCACACTGCCTAATGACACGACAGGGCAGGGACAGTGCTACCAGAACCTCGTGTGTTCTCGCGGATGTATCTATATTCAGGGTTCATCCGTGGTATATAGGAATTCCCGCATGCATGACAGCAAAAGTCGAATGTAAAATACCCCTCCCTGGCTCCAGTAGTCCAACAACGAAAAGACTATGATGCTACTCGTCTTCATTATGGTCATCAAAACGGCCAGTGTCGCTTCGTCATTTCGCGCTCGTGGTCAGTGTCAAGTGAAGCAAGGCCATCGATTTTTACCTGACGGGCACGAGCACAGGCGGCTTCATATTCTTCTAAAGGGGTCCAACTGTCCACGCCGATGCCAATAATATTGCGAATCTGCTTGAGTTGGAGATCAACCTTTTCCTGCTCGCCTTGTGAGTGCATGATGGAATCAGCCTTGGTCGTCAAGAATGATATCGGACACGGGCTGGTTGAAAATCGGTGCCAGCATTTAGAGATTAGAACAAGGTCGGCCTGGAGTGGGATGTTATTCCCCTCCCAGGGCTCGCCTACGTGAGTAAAGATGCGGCGCGTAAGCATGTTCGTAGCCTGATCCATGGCGCGGAAGTGAGGTCCATTGAAACGCTGCGTGGAAGCCAAGTAGAAGAAGTGGGTATGGCGACGCTTGAAAACATGAAGAGCCTCGGCTTTTTCTTCCTCTTCCATGTCGTCAAGATCCGGGGTAGGAGGCGGGCGGAAATCAAGCGATCCAGGGTCGTCGTAGTTCTGAAAGAATTTCAGGATCCCGGCAGCGAGAAAGACTGGCAGCACAGATGCGTGTTGCCAGTCAATTAATCCGACAATGTCGAGATCGTCGGAGACAAAAATGTTGTTCGGCTGAAGATCAGGGTGGCGAAGGACAGGTCGTAAGAATTCGTCCGGTGGAAGCAGTTCAGGAGCAATCTTGAGGTAGAATTCCAGCGACGCAATATGCTCACTGGGATCAGACAATCGATAATTCGTGGATTCGCGATATGCACGTTCAAATGGGAAGCGCGGCCGGCCATATGCGCGCAGCCAGGCAAGTTCTTTCAACGCAGGATTTCGGAGAACATCGATTGCTTCCTACCTAGTACATGGTCAGGAGCGAGGCAAGCTGGCATAGAAGGCACTTACAAGGGCCGCGATCAGTGCGGAGCGAGGCACACTCTGCGAACCACCATTCAAGAGCTGTACTAGGGCCGATGCAGAAATCCGAGTCTGGGATGACAATGCGGGGTGAGTCCAATGGCAGGTCCTTGGCATAGTATATGCTTCCGCTTGCAGGAAGCTCAATAGCACGAACCTTTGCTTCTAGCTGAACAAGCTGCAGAAGCACCTTTAGACGTTCACGATCAGATAGATCGAACCACCGATCACCAAGTGGTCGCCCTGGTAGCTTCTCCATGATAATATACTCGGAGCCAACAGGATTGTTAGCATCTGTAGAGTATGCGTACACACGGGGCACCGGAATACCATAACCCCGAAGGAGAGCCAGGGTCGCCACCTCGCTAGCGACTGTCGGTTGCCTTGGCTTAGTTGAGGGATATGGCAATCGGGCAAGGGCCTGAGTATCATCAAGCATAGTTATCTGTAGGACACGATTGAAGCCTCCTTCTGCCAGCTTCGATAGAGTCTGAATATTTGTGTCCGATCTCTCCAGCGATCGAGCAGCGGCGCGTTTTAACGCATCAACATCAAACTTTCTGTGACGCTCAGCGAGACGGACTTCCTCGTTGTATCTACCTATATAAGCTATCAAAGCTGGGAAGTAGAAGGCCTCTTCGTGCAACCCACATCCATCGACCAGATGTGTATTCGAATAGTCGACCATTGTTGTTCATCGTTGAAACCTTTCGGGAGGTAACCGTTGAACAGGACATGACACACCTACAAAGGGAAATGGATCGAGTGACCGGATACGGACGCCATGTCGATGATACCACCTTCATTTCGATCATGCTGAAGCCGGTTCGTTGATGAAAGAGTTAAACTGTTGCGGTTTGCGCGTCAAGGGGGTGAAACGTGCTTAGTCATCGATAAACAGACAGTTCGGTCACATTCAATGTATGCAGTATGCATTTTGCTCCATGTACTGAGATGCAGGGCCAAGTTGCAGATCGAGCCTTTTGACTGCGAGAGTATTATTCAAGGAGCTATGGGTACAGAGCCCGACGGTCGATGCATGGTCGTTGAAGACAATCGTAGATAATGATACTAGGGCGCTCTCTCCTCCAGTCCTCAGTTTGTGAACAACCCAGGCTGAGCATGCAACCTCCCTCTTCGTAGGCCAGTAGCGAGTGTCGGCTGGCCGGAGTAGACAACTCCTAGACTGTACTGTCAAGCCTCGTTATAACGATACGCATTATAACGATTTTCGATCTACAACGATTGCGCCGAAGTATGGAGTGCTGAGGATGATGAGACCTCCGCTATCCGAGGTCGGGTCTATCCGTTTGTCGGATCGGATCACGGCTACTAGTTAATGGCTTGAACCACTGCCTCAAGCCGAGGGCTGAAGGTACTCGGCAGTTATCAACATGTCCTTTTGTATCTCAATCTAGTCCGAGGTGAATTCTCGACTAGCCGCGAATTAGTATAAGACCAACGATGGCTACCATGATATCCGATCAGCATCTGAAGAAGAGAGTTCACGCGCACTATTGCATCCTCTTCACACTATCTGAGCATTCTTGATACCATTTGCAATTCGGAGAATACACAAACACCATGCAAACGAACGAGTTACAAGAAGTGGCGCTGGCCCTGCGCACCGCGCGCGACAATCGAGCCCCCATCACACCACCCACCAAGACCTGGCCCGCTCTTGACGCGGACTCGGCTTTCGAGGTGCAGCGACTGAATGTCAAGCACGCCGTCAGCAACGGTGATCGCTTGGTCGGTTACAAGCTCGGAAACATAGCCAAGGTCATGCAGGACGCGTTTGGCCTCGATCAACCAGACTACGGCTTCCTTCTGGCCAGCACCTTTCTCTACGAGAGCACCACCCTTCATCTCGACCACTACATCAAGCCCTACGTGGAGCTGGAGCCTGCTTTTGTGCTGCACAGCTCGCTCCGCGGTCCCAACGTGACGGTAGCCGACGTGATCAACGCCATTGACTATGCTATACCTGCCATCGAGATCATCGACTCTCGGGTGGAGAATTGGGCGATCGATCTGCCTGACACTCTGGCTGACAACGGCTCCACTGCCAACGTCATTCTCGGCGGCACTCCCCGGAAGCTCACAGATCTAAAGAGTCTGCGGGATGTGCGGGGTACGCTCCAGTTTAACGGTCGGGAGGTGATGGATGGAAACACGGGGAATGTGCTGGGTAATCCCCTGTCGGCAGTGGCCTGGTTGGTGAATCGACTGGCTGCATACGATATTGAATTTCAAGCCGGCCAGGTGATTCTACCTGGCAGTTGTCTCCAGGCCGTTCCGATGGATAAGCCCGGGAAGTGGAGGTGTACTTTTGAGGAGTGGGGCACCATCGAGTTTGACGTCGCGTGAGCGTGTTTGGTCTTTGTGTAGTCAAGGCGGGGTAGATAGCTAGAATTCGATTTCTTCTGGATTTGTTCAGCAGCAACCCTACATTAACTCATTCACAAATTTGTAATAGTTGGTGCAGCAAATAGAGTGAGCCGGGATCATGGGCTCTCACCAGACTTTCTTGATCGGGATGATAGGAGAAGATCTTTCGTATCGAGATCAACGCTAACAGCGAGCACTAGCCCTACTTGAGCACTTATCGGCCTTATCCTGCCACCAAGTTAACTAGTTATCTGCGGGGATGGAGTCAACCAGCAGCCACCCGTCGTTCCCCGCAATTGCCAACTTCGCCTTCGGCTTTGCCAACTGTTCTTTTTATCTCCTTCGATCATGCCATCGCCCCAAGCCGAGCTGGCGAACTCCTGCACAATATAGATGATAGTTGCACGGCCATCAATTGCAATGACGACCGAGGGTAGGACTGAGCGCCGAAAGTTCCGAAGGACTGCCAATGCGTAAGGGCCACGGCCCCCCCACACGCTCCCCGCCGGACTCCTCCCACTAACATCCGAGACAGGTGCATCCCATGCCGGCAGAGTAAAATCAAATGCTCTGGGAATCAGCCATGTGGGAATTGCCAACGACGGATGGTGAACTGTCGATTTGTGGATAGTGGTCATAGGATAATCATTCACCAACCCAGCAATTCCACTGCGTTTGAGATAAACAGTCATGCATCAGGTGGGGAACCGAGGAATCTGAGGAATCTCACAACATCGCAACAAGCGCATAAGACTGACCTGATGCGCAGGAGCCAAGCGACCCGCAAGTCTGGCTTTTGTGTCAGATGGCCATGAGGATTGCCCTGATGTGCTGCTCACTCCTCCTTCTCTCGTTTCTCAGCATTTCGATTCAGCACCATACATAGGAGTGCAACGACCTGCCGAGTTGTCCAATCCAACGGTCGACGGCGCGCGCAGCATCTGGACGAGTCCATTCACACTCCCCTCGAGAACCATCAAGAACACCCAGAGGAACAAACGCAACTGGGGTGAGTTACCATGCTCTCAGCCCGTCGGTGTCAGCTAACCAAGAATGGCGCAGTCTGGCTGGCACCCTCATCAACCTGGTCCTTTACTGCCAGACTCACCCTCCTTCTAGCTGAGAAGCTCGAGTTAGACTCCCCCTACAGCGCCCCGAATTTTTCCGGGGAGGACATCTATGTCCTCCGGTTGAAATCATGCCCACCCGACGACCCCCCCGACATCAGCGGGTTACCGTCAATCGATCACGCTCTCTACCTGTTTAACACTGTCAAATTCCACCTCGGTCAGAGCTATCGCTTTCTCGACGAAGCCACCTTTGTCGAGCATCTTCAGGAGTTCTACCACGGGAACGCAGCCGAGAAAGCTGCCGCATCGCGTCTGTGGTTCGTACAATTCCTCCTCGTCTTGTCCTTCGGGAACGCCTTTCTCTCTTCCCGCTGCAAATGCACCACCGAGCCGCCAGGGTCAAAGTTCTTTATCCGCGCGATGGCCTTGATGCCGGACCACGCCTCCGTCTGGAAGGACAGCCTATTGGCCATTGAAGTGCTGGCTCTAGCTGGTCTGTATCTGTACTCGATTGATCACAGGGAGTCCGCCCATGTATACGTAAGAACCTTTTCTACTTCTATCTCTGGAACTTATCTTAAGAACAATACAGCTCGGCCAAGCCATCCGCATCGCGCAGCTTGAAGGTCTACACACGCAACTCCCTGAGGAAGAGATTGGACTCCAGACGGTCGAGCGGTGCCGCAACCTGTGGTGGACACTTTACATCATGGACCGCCACTTCTCTTGCTCGCTGGGGATCCCCATGTTGACGCGCGACAGCGATATCACCACCGTGCTGGACTCGCCCAGCGCGTGCTCGCAACGCGATGCGACCCTGTGCTTGCAGGTGAGGTTGTCGCACTTGCTGTCTTTTATTCTTACCAGTGAGCTCTTGACCTTTTTGACTCCTGATGCTCTAACGATGGCTGATGATCCCGTCCAGCAATCTACAAAACCCAGAAGACGCAGCTCGGGACGTTCTTGGACCAAACCAAGTCAATCCTGCAGACGCTCGCGGGTCACGCGCGGGAGATTGAGAAGATCATCTACCGAAAATTCCAGAACTCGATTGATACGATGCCTCGAGGGACGCGGCATATTACGCTTTTGTATCATCAGGTTCGTACATTTCCTCTTCTTCTGGAAAAAAAGAAAAAAAAGAATAGCCCGCAGTATCCAGTCCAACAAGAATTATCCCGACTAATACCATACAAAAGTGCGTGATGGTCGCCACCCGGCCCCTCCTCCTCTCCGTCCTCAAGGAAAGACTCGACACCTTAACCGAAGGCGACGAGGACTGGCAGACGATCCTCGCGCCGACGAAAGCCCTGATTGCCACGGGGATCAAATCCGCGGTCAAGACGCTGCAGATCCTGTCGGATGAGGATAGTCCCCTCGGTAGGCCCCCTTCCCTCAAAACCCTCACTGGGAAAAGTATCGCCCGGCCACAGTGGCTTACCCCGACGTGTAGAAGTCTTCCTCCCCTACGACCTCGAATTCACCTACAGCGCCGCCATCCACCTTGCCATGGCGCAAGCCCTCTTCCCCCTCGACCCCAACGAGCACGGCACCCGGGGCATCCAGAACGCCCACTCCATTCTGTCTGAGATGGCGAGCAAGGGCAACCGACTCGCTGAGAACCGTTCCAGGGAGTTAGTCTACCTGGAGGGGTTGTTCGCGGAGCTGGCGAAACGCATCGAGCGGCGCGGGTTGCTGACGCTCTCGCTCTGGAATTCTCCGCAGCAGCAGCAACATCAACAGGACTGTGTAACTGGGAATACAGCCGGGGGGACCGGAGGCGGGGAGACGTTGACAA